CATGATTTTATGAGGCTCTTTAAAGGTTACTCCTCAGCCTCCAATGCTCCAGAAACAGACAGACAATCTTGTTGATTTTTAAAAGATGCCTTATTCTCTCCTTTTTGCCCTCAAGTATCTTTGTAGAATCTCTTTGGATTCTCCTTAAACTCATTTGCTAAAGCTATCTCATGTACCCTCTTTGCCTCCTGATTTCCTTCCTGAACAGACTTCTACTTATATTTAAGGTTCACTTGATCCCAGCTGTCTATACCTTCCATTTCCCTCCTTTTCCTTGACAAGAGTCTCAATTTCTGTCATCCAGCATTCCCTACACCAACCAGCATTACCCTTTACACAAATAAGAACATTACTTCTTCTCAACTCATTATCTCATTTTTGAAAGCCTTCTATGTTCCAGAGGAGTTGAACAGGTATGTTGCATCAGTTTTTACAATGGAAAATGCTTCCATTAATATCAAAGAATGTGGGAGAGGAATCAAATACAAATTACTAAAGTAGTAGCATTAGACAAACAAATGGGACTAAATGCAAGTAAGTCCTGTGGCTCTGATGGCTTGCATTCTAGGATCCCAAGAGAGGAGGCTATAAGAGATAATGCATGCATTGGTTATAATTTTTAAAAAATCCTTGGATTCTGGAGAAGTACCAGAGGATTGGAAAATTGCTAACATAACAACCCTATTCAAAAAAAGGGAGGCAAAAAGTGGGTGACTATATGCTGATTAGCCTGACATTATTAGATATGTATTGGAATCAATTATGGAATAATAGCAGAACATTTGAAAAATCATAACCTAATCTAGTAAAGTCAACATGACTTCATTAAGGGGAAATTGAAAAATAAATTAGTTAGATACAAAGACAAAATTAACCGGAGAGAAGAGGGAACCAGAAGTGGTACTGGACTTCCAGAAGTTCAACACAAAGTACCTTACAAAAGGTTAAGTTGCAAGGTAGAACCCACAGTGTTAGAGATAGCATATTGGCATGGATAGAGAATTAGCAAACTGGGCAGGAAACAGCAAGGACAAAGAATACAGGAACAAGAGTGTGTGTCCAGGAATGGGCCCTTTGGCATTCCAAGCCTGCATTGAGACATTTTACCCTCCATACTAAAATTATCTGTATCCCTCTTTCGTTCTTAATTTATTCATCCAGGGTGCTTCTTGAATGCTGTTGTGTCTGCATCCACCACTTCCTCTGGCAGCACGTTCCAGGTACTCACCACTCTGAAAAACGTGCCTCACATCTCAAACACCAACCACCAACCACCACCATCACCCCCCACCTCGAACCTCTATCTCCTAGTAATTGACCCCTCCACCCTGGAAAAAAGCCTCATACTTTCCACTCTATCCATGCCATTCACAATCTTATAAACTTCTACTGGGTTTCCCCCTCGATCTCTTATGTTCCATTGAAAACAAACCCAGTCTATTCAAACTTTCTTCATAGCTAAAATCCACCATAACAGGGAACATCCTGGTAAACCTTTTCTGTACCCTCTCCAAAGCATCTACATCCTTCTGGTAGTATGGTGACCAGAACTGTATGCAATATTCGAAGTATGGCCTAACTAAAGTTATGCTGCAGCTTTATAGAACTTACCTTCATTGAGTATAAGGACAGGCAAGCATGCCATAGGCCTTATTTAAAATACCTTATCTACCCTCACTGTCACTTTGGTGATCTGTGGACCTACACACCCAGATCCCTCAGTACACCAATACTCCTAAGGGTCTGCCATTCACTGTATAGTTTCCACCTGTGCTTGATCTTCCAAAATGCATCACCTCACTTTTCCAGAATAAACTCCATCTGCCATTTTTCTGCTAACGCCTTCAACTGATGTATCTTCTAACAATCCTCCTCAATATCTCCAATTCCACCAAATCTTTGTATCATCCACAAACTTTCTAATTAGATAAGTGATTTGGAAGAAATCAGCTATGTAGATCATAAACAGCAGAGGTCCCAGCACTGATCCCTGTGGAGTAGCAGCAGTCACAACCTTCCCTTCTAAAAAGCATCCCTCAGTCTCCTATAGAGTCTAGAGTAATAGAGCATGGGAACAGGCCCTGGCCGGGCTCTTTCCCAAAACCAGGTCCAGTATAACCCCTTTCCTAGTTGGACTAGTTACATAGTGTTAGGAAACCCTCCTGAATGGTCCTTGCAAATTCTACCCCATCCAAGCCTCTAGCACGAAGTGAATCCTAGTCAATAAAAGTCACCCACTACAGCAATCCTACAGTTTTCACATCTTTCCAAAAATCTACCTACATAGAAGAGAGACTATCTCCTGCTGACTGTTGGGAAACCTGTAGTATACACACCAGCATTGAGATGTCACCTTTTCTATTCCTAAATTCTATCCATATTGCCTCTCTGCAGGAGTCCTCCGATGCATCCTCCCTCAATACAGCTGTGAGATTCTTCTTTATTAGTAATATAACACCCCACACCCTTTTTACATGCCTTTCTTTCACACCTGAAACATTTATATCCTGGGGCATTCAGCTACCAATCCTGTCCCCCTTTCAGTCAAGTCTCCATCATCATTACACAATGTCATAGTTCCAAGTACTAACCAAAGCTCAGTTCATCTACCTTGCCTATTATACTTCTTGCACTGAAACACATGCATTTAAGACCACCTTCCCTTTAGTGTGGATAAGGGGTTCTTTTTCAGTTGGTGACCTATGAGCAGTAGTGTTCCACAGGATTTAGTGGTAGGACCAGAAATGCTTAAAATATAAATGTAATAACTTGGAAGGAAGTGAATGCACTGTAGCCAAATTTCCACATCAAAAAAAGTGGAGAGGCAAGTTGAGAGGGATAAAAGCAGTTAATATATTGCTAGGTTAAGCTAGTGGGAAAGAAGTTGGCAAATGGAGTATAATGTGGGAAAACGTGAAGTTGTTCATTTTGGAAGGGAGAACCAAAAAGAATAGCATATTAGTTAAATGGAGAAAAACCACAGAAAGCTGCAACACAAAAGACAGTTAGGGTCCCTCACTCTCCTAACCAGGACATTCTAATAGAACTATAACAAGATCTATCCAAAGTGCACAATAATCATCCAAGAGTGTTCAGTCAACAAAAACTTTGGCACAAATTCACTAGCCAAATATTACCCATCAGCTTTCAAACTAATGGAGGTCATTGACATTTTTTTTTTGTAATGCTTACTCACTAATAATCTGTTAATTACTTGACATCCAATTTGAGTACGACCAGGAGCAACTGGGCTACAGATCCCATTCTTTGATTACTGGAGATCATATTGCTAAATGTGCAGAATCTGGAGATTGGTCAGGAATTCATTTGGAAACTCAAGTTAATAAGAGCACAGATCAGGTTTTCAACAGATCAACCAAGGGATGATTGGATTCTAGTGGCTTTAGAAAGATGGAAACAGGCTTAGTGATGGTTTGAACACATATCAGGAGGTGACTACAGGAGCAAACACTAGTTGATTCTCAGATACTGGCGAGGATGATAGAATTGGCAGGTAAATAACAGTGTCTGCAATCAGGAACTAAGCTTATGGTTTTGATCTGAGTACTTACTTGGAGGAAATTTCTGCTTATTCAGTATGGACAGAGGGCAAAACGGGTGCTGTTGTGGGAACTCTACCACAGCCCATCAAGACACCATCCTGATTTAGGAAAAAATATTGCTACATAAAAAAGGTATGGCACAGAGATTAACATTTGGGTCATGGTTGGCATTCAAAAAGTTAGTTAAAATTAAGCATGGAGGAGAAGGCAAAATACACGGGCATCATTTGCTTTAAACAAAAAGTGACACGATTATGGGGTTAGACAGCCATTTCTGGCAATCGCAGGAAATTAAAAGCAGAAATCTGGTTGATTTTTATTTCCCTCTAAAAACTTCATTTACATGGGTGCCTGTGCCAACTGACACAAACTCTAAGGTTATTTGCTGAGGGACACTAAAGCTTGGGATAGCTGCCAAGGCATAGTAGGGAAAGACCACTGTCCAAGGTCTTTTCCAGCAGACATTACATTACAAGGACCTGTCAATTTTTTTTGCTTTAATGGGAAAGAAAAGGAATTTCCTTTCATTAGCAATTGCCTTTGTGGTGGCAACTGGATTGAAGCCCTAATGAAGTATGTCAAATTCCACCTTTGTTTTGGTGAAGTCCGTATGGAACAGTTTATTCATAAATTCTAAGTACATTTTTGAAATAAAAATTAAAAGAAGAACATGAAATCAACAGGTATTGAGCTTTACTACTTAGGTTGGATGAAACAAACCTGCTTCGGTGTTGAGATTTACATTTACGCATAAAACAATATTCCTTTGTATTTTAGTTATTGTAGGGAAGTCCACACAAAAAAAATGTTCACTTGTCTTGTTTAATCTTTCCTTTGGCACTTCACTTTGCTTCCAATCATGATTTGGGAACAGAGGCCAGAATTTACTGTAACCAAACAAACACTGCTATTTAATTTCTAGGGTTTTTTCCCCCTAGAAGTGTTGCTTGAATTTAAGAGATCTCTGTACAGGGCACCTGGAGCTTATAGATAAACAGTGAAGCAACTGTGAGCAAGTTTGAAGTATTGTTAATGAACGGTGCAGAATCTGAACTCGGAATTATAGTTTTAAGTTCAATATCAATTATAGATAAACAGTCTCAGACCAAAAATGGATAATCCCCACCATTGTAGTGAGAGGAGTCTATATTGATCAAGTACAGGAACACCGCACCTTTTTTCAAACAGTGACAATTATTTAAGTCACAGGTTAACACAACCTGACAAAGAAAAAATAAATGGAGATAATAGCTTGATTTTGAACTTTAGCTCAAAATTAAGAGACACCATAAGCCTGATGATTTTTTTTTCCAGGCACAGAATAGTCAAAATCTGAAGGCAAAGAGTGCGCCAAATGGATTTTCAAATTACTAATTTGGAGAAATTAAATCGCAGGAACATTCATGCATGACTGAAAAATAATTAAAACAGCCTTACCTCATTCAAATCGAGGAATGCAGAATTGCATGGATAGGTATAAACTCTGCAAAATCAGATGAAAGATCAAGTGAATTTTAAATAGAAATTAATGAATCATGTCGCATACAATTCAGATCTAGCAACCTTGGCTTCATAGCACTTAAGTGGCCCTTGCCATAGATTGACAGATTGAGTTTTGAAATTGGCTTATGCTCAATAGCTTTAAATTTTGAAGAGGGGGTGAGGAGGTATTGTAAGGAAATGTTTCAGATTTTCTAACCACACTACGCCTAGTCAGCGAGCACTTCCCACATCACACCTAAACAATCCAGCACCAGGTTTAAAGTTGCTTCCACTTAATTCTCTCAGTACAAAGTTTTCTCTATCTACTTTTAGTTGAAGAATTTAGAAAAGGTTATTCAATGATTTATTGATCCATTGATTTTCTAAACTCAATACAAGCTTACTCCATGCAACAAAATGCTTAATTTAAAATTTGTAGCTTTATTTTGACAATGGGCTCTTGTGGCACAGTAGTGATGTCCTGGCTTCTGGTCCAGGAGACGCAGGTCAAGTCCCACCAGCTTCTGAGGTTTGTAAAATGTGTGTGAGCAGGTTGATTAGAAAATGTCTAAACAATCTTTGAAGGCCTTTTATGGAGCAGTGGTAGTAGAATCAGAATCCCTACAGAGCAGAAAAAAAAAGGTCATTCAGCATACCGAGCCTGCACTGCCCTCCAAAGAGTTTCCTGCCATCCCTGCAACCTGTGCTTTTACCATGATAATTCAACTAACCTGCTCATCTTTGGACAGGAGGAAACAAGAGCACCCAATGGAAATGCACACAGACACAGAGAACATGCCAACTCCACACGGACAGACACCCAAGGGTGGAATTGAATCCAGGTCCCTGGCAGTGAGGCGCAGCGGTGCTAACCACTTAGCTACTGTACCACCCCTGATGTCAGGGCCAGGTTCAAAGTCCCACCTGATCCAGGGTGTGTAAGATCACAAGGGGATATTAGGTCAGATAGCATGAACATAGAACAAGAGTAGCCCGCTAAAAGGTCTTTGAGCCTGTTCTGCCATTCAATGAGATCATGGCTAATTTTAACCTCAACTCTTTCCTGCATATGCCTGATTACCAAGAGGATGAAAGGTAAATCAAGAATTGCCTTAAAAATCCTGTATCCACTGCTTTTTGAGGAAGGGAATTCCAGAGACATAAACCACACATTCTTAAATGGATGACACTATTTTCAAACTGACCCCAAGATCTAGATCCTTCCACAGGAAGAAACATCCACTTGGTCAAGCCCTCTCAGGATCTTTTATGTTATAATTAAGTCACCTCTGACACTTCTAAACTCCACAGATAACAGGGTCAGATAGTACTAGATCAAAAGGAACATGCTTATTGTCATGACACTCTGGGTTAGTTAGAAATCAAAAACTTATTCCTGCTGTGGTTACTAAAAGTTAAAGATTTTAAAAATGCGTGCAAAGATTTGAATGTATTTGACTTTTTAAGTCTCAGGTTGACAAAGCATGGAGCAGGTTTTGGACTTGACGACCATTTATTACAAGTAATTAGACTCTAACTACAGGTAATCAATTAACACACACACACCTAGTTGCCCTTAAAAAGGTGGTGGTGAACTGCCTGCTTGAACTACTGCAGTCCACCAGTTGTGGGTTCACCCACAATGTCATTAGGGAGAGGATTCCAGGATCTTGACCCAGTGACGGTGAAGGAATGGCAATATATTTCCAAGTCAGGATGGTGAGTGGCTTGGAGGGGAACTTGAAGGCAGTGCAGTTCCCATATATCTGTGCCCTTGTCCTTCTAGATGGAAGATGCTGCCTGAGGATGTTTGGTGAATTTCTGAAGTGCATCTTGTAGATAGTACACACTGCTTAAAGTTTTGGAGAAGATTTGTAGCTTAGGTTGTGGATGAGGTTGCAGACTTGCTCGGTGTGTTTGATTGCAGACATTTTGTCACCCTGTTGTTAGGTGACAGTCAGTGCGCCTCCAGTGAAGCATTGGTCTTCTGTTGCGCTTGTTATTTATATGCCTTGGTTTGCTGGGGTGGTTGGTTGTGACAAACCACAACAAGACGACACAACACGGTCAGACACCTAGTCACCCTGCTGTACATCAGGGACAAACCAAACCAAAGATGACCACAAGACAACTCAAACTCCAGCTATCAGGGTCACCCATAAACCAATAACCACCCTGTGACAGCTACTAACAAACAGAAAGGACCTCATACCCACAACCAATAAAAGTAATGTAATATACAAAATACTATGCAAGGACTGCTAGAAACATTACATTGGCCAAACTGGAAGAAAATGGGCAATAAAAGGATACACAAACACCAACAAGACACCAAGGGACACAACCAATTCTCACTGGTCTCAATACACACTGACAAAGAAGGGCACTAATTCGACTGGGACAACACATCCATAAATCGCATAAGCCAAACAGACATGCCAGGGAATTCTTGGAAGCCTGACATTCCAGCTGGAACACCAACAAACAAATTGAACTGAACCTGATACACAAATGTTGTAGTAGTTGAGCAGAAACAGATAGGCAATTTAAGTAATCCATGATGGCACAATTACAATACAAAAGGTCAGAAAGGTTACGAACAGGCTGGTTTAACTGGAGACTACTTCCATAGAAACTTGTAATTGGTACCTACTGAATAGGTGCAGATGAAAAGCAAAAATAATGATTTTGATCTTACCAATATGTAGTTAGTGGAAAATTCTGTTCATACAATAACTGGCCAGATAAGCAGACTTTGAGATAACAAGGTGTAGAGCTGGATGAACACAGCAGGCCAAGCAGCATCATAGGAGCAGAAAGGCTGATGTTTCGGGCCTAGACCCTTCATCAGAAAAATTTTCTCCAGCATCTGCAGTTCCTACTATCTCAGATAAGCAGACTTGTAATATTGTGGAGGAGAAGTCAAAAAAAGGATACTGGTGAGGTGGAGGTGGGTGTCATTAGTGTACATGAAAACGAATGTGTGTCTTCAGGCAATGATGACAAACAGCATGTAAATTGGGTGGATGTCATGGATCAACTGCAGGACACCAGAAGTAAACTATCATGTATGCTATTGACAGTAATTTCTGAATATCTTTTACAGGGATTTGTCCAACGATCATATCGATTGGAAAAAAGATTAATTGCTTTTAGTGAAATATCTGCGTAATAATACATTAACAGTCATACAATAAAATCAATAGTTATTTTAAACACTCTGCCCAAAATGTTGCCTGTAGGCTTACATACACATGGTCAATTGCAGCATCTTCAGGTGTGTTTGGGAGGAAGAATATGGGAGTAAGAGTAGCAGAGGCTACATAATTTCTTATGTTGACTGATAGACAATTCACCCAAGTTATCATACATCTTACACAATAAATAGTTCAAACACTAACCTGAAATGAATACAAACCTGAACCTCAAAAGTAGCCAGCTATTCATTCTTTATTCCATGGTAACGAAGACAAAATATTATATTAAATATCCATCAAGGCTATGTTTCTTACATTTTAAGTCCAAGTGAGGATCTTACCTTCTCTTACTGTGAAGGCTTTCATTTAATGAATTGAGAAATTTTCTACAATCCTTCAAAAGAAAAACAAAATTCTATGCATCACATGATCTTTTGAAACCCAACAGTTGAATACAAGACAATATTAGCCAGCGTGTCACAAGATAAATAGTCACACAAAACAGCCTCATTTACACGTCAAAGCACTTGACTCACATGCAGCACAACTTAAAAAAAAAATCACTAAAAATGAACAGGAGGCATTGGGTATGGTTGTACAGAAACTAATGTTCTGCAGTCACCTTGTTGGCCCCAAATTGTGGCTCATCTATCCTTTGAAGATAAAAATCAGATTATGTAGCAATGAGGAGGTCAGCAGGTAAAATGGAAAAGGTTAGTTAGGTGTTTAATCAATAATCACAGTCATTCTTATCCTGTGTACGAACAAAAACCCTATGTTCACACATGTTATGTAGTAAACCTCAGCAACCCCTAAAACGACCTCAAAATAAAAACTTCCCAACATTAGATCCAAGACAGACTATACCAAAGGTGGCATGGAATAAGTGTGCTGTTGGTGAAGGAGCTTCTGAATTAAACACATTTAAAGTGCAATTTCCACTTTGTACATTCTGTCTGTACAAAGATTTTGGGACAGAGGATTTAAAGCTTGGCAAAAGAAAGCATTTGAGAACTATAAAAAGTAGTTAAAGGAAGGAATTAGAAAGGAAAATAGGGAGAGAATTCCCATGTAGGCCCATAAGCAGTTGAAGGCATGACACAGTAACTACGGGCATACACAAGGAGGTCAAATTAAAATGAGTGCCAATGTGAAGCAGGGGTCGAGAAAAAGGAGGATAGATATAGTGGGAAGACCATAGTGGCATTTGAAAAAAAAAACGAACATTTGAAAATCTGGCCCTGCCAAATAAAGAGGCAAATCAAGGTAGCGAGCGGGGGGGGGGGGGGGGGGTTGGTCAGTAAATTGGATTTGGTGCAGTGATATGTTCCCAGATGAACATTGCCAGGAACCCTATGGTATTTGTGGTAAGTGGTACTGGGCAAGGGCTGTTTAAGGTAGCCCGTTGCCACCAACTCTTTGAAAAAGGCCTCAAACCACATTCATTTCAAAGACAACAAGGTACAGAGCTGGATGAACACAGCAGGCCAAGCAGCATGGCTGATGTTTCGGGCCTAGACCCTTCATCAGAAAAGGGGGAGGGGAAGGGGGTTCTGAAATAAACAGGGAGAGAGTGGGAGGTGGGTAGAAGATGGATAGAGGAGAGGAAACAAACAGGTCGAAGAGGCGGGGATGGAGCC